AGCTGGGTAGTTTTCTTTTCTTTTTTCTTTTTTCTTTTTTCTCTTTTCTTTTTTCTTTTTTCCTTTCCTTTTCCTTTTTTCTCTCACATTAGGTGAGTGGTGCAGCGATGCTTCTTTCTGTATCCTCCAACCGCTGTGAGTTGGCTAGTCTTTTTTTTTTTTTTTTTTTTTCGTTTTTTCTTTTTTTTTCTCTTTTTTCGTTTTTTGATGTTCTTTTCTTTTTTTTCTTTTTTCTTTTCTCTCCCTTGGGCCAACCAACCCCATTACGATAAGGTTTGTCCTGTGCACCTTACCTTCCCGTGTGCGTTTCACGCATGCGTTTTTTTTTCCCCTCTCTGGAGCGCATGCCTTGCCTCCCAGTCAATCAATCTCTATCTGATTCTCTCTCTCCTTTTACTCTTTTCTTATATTGTCTTTATTTCTGTCTTCCTTTTCCTTTTGCTGCTGGCTTGACTGTGCGTGCTGGACTGACTGATTTGAAATTTCCGGCGGCGCTGCTTAACGTTACCGTCCACCTCCACAACCCGGTTTGGGAATGTTACCCCGACCGCCTTTCAAGGACTTATCGGAAATTTCAAATTTGTTTAATCAACTTTGATGGCTGTTTATTGACAAAATCAGTCTCTACTGACATGATTTCATTTCTGACTTCTTTTGCTGCTTACCTGACCGCGATCAATGGACCGCAGAGTGATTTGAAAAATGTTTTTTTTTTGGTTTTGTTTTGTGTACAATGGCTGGAAAATAAAAATCAGGCGAAGATCCGCAGTGGAAGATCATCTTCATGTCGGAATGGGACGCGCTTGCGGCTGCGACGAACAGATTGCATAGGGAGAACGAAGTGGTTTGGTATCACAGAGTGCCGGGCACGGACGAGCTGACGTTTCCAGAATCGCGCATCTGCGTCCAGTCTCTTCCGTACGAGTTGGTGTCCCATAACCGAGAGTTCGCTTTTGTATTTTGATGACCCTACACTGCATTTCTCGTCTTCGACTGCTCCGTCCAAGAGTTCGCTTTTGTATCGAGATGCGAGGACGATGGCGTTCTCGCACCGTCCAAGAGTTCACTTTTGTAAAAGAGCTCTTCCGTACGAGAGTCGGTATTGCATACGAGATGAATTGTCCCATAACCGAGAGTTCACTTTTGTATTTTCGTTTTTGTATCTTGACGATGCAACACCGCATTTGTCTTCTTCTACTGCAGCAGCACGTCATCGAGATGCGAGGACGACAGCGGTCCCGTACCGCTCCATCGACATAAGAGTTTCTTCCGTACGAGCTGATATTCCATACATACGAGTTGGTGTCTCATAACTGAAGAGTTTGTTTTTGTATTCTGATCGACTCCACACCGCGTCGCTCATCTTCTACTTTGCAGCAGCGCTCCGTCGAGGTGCGAGGACGACGGGCAATCGCGTACTGCCGTCATCGATGTACACGGGGTTCGTCCATTACGAGCCGGTATCTCGACACTGAAGAGTTTTTTTTAGTTTTTTTTTTCTTCTTCTTCTTTTGTTTGTATTTTCATGACGCATCCACGCCGCTCATCTTCTATGCCAGCACCCCCTCGATCTGCAAGGACGGCGGCGGCGGTACCATCATCGAGGGCGTGGAGGGTAAAATCGCGTGTGCCGCGCTGCAGCAGCTGTTTCTCGTAATTTACTGCTGCACTCGACTGAGTCGACTGTCGAGGTAATTAGTAATAATCACTAATTAGTAATTAGTGATTACTTCCATGATTCCATCTGAGAGAGAATGATTAGAGTGAGAGCGAGGTTTAGGAGTTGTTGTTCATAATGCGTTTGTTAATCCATCGGAAATTCGGAATAATGGCGTAGTAAAGCTAATCAACATTGTGGCAATTTGGGGCAAAGGAAGATGAAAATTCTCTGAAATTGCATGGCTGTATTACTGGTTTGTGCCACTCAGACAAGAGTGACGTCCAAATCGCTAAACGTGGATTGTTTTTCCCTTTTTTTTCCTTTTCAGAAAAATATATATTTGGACCCCCCCGTAAACCAAGAGAGCAGCTGAGGCAGTTGAATAATGGCATGAGTAGAAGTTTTACAGATTCAATGACCCCAATCAGCTGTGTTTCAGAGGGAGTAGCTGTCTCTCACCGGCTGAGAAGATAGGAGATATACCTCAGCAGCAGCAGCAGTAGCGGGTTCACCAAAGGAGAGCCGCCGCCAAGCGCAGGTTATCGGTCTTACCTCGTGCCTCTCTTGGCCGGCGCGGCAATCAAAAATTGACGTGCGTTTTGGCGTTCATACCATGCCTTCGAAGTCCAAAGTTAGGATGCTGCTGCTGAGTGCGCGTGCGCATGCACATGCATAGACAAACACACACACACGGGCACTTACACACACACGCACACACACACACACACACACACACGCGCGCGCGCGCGCGTACACACACACATACACGTACACACACACATATACACACACANGCGTACACACACACATACACGTACACACACACATATACACACACATGCACACACACACACACACACACACACACACACACACACACACACACACACACACACGTACACACACATACACATACACATGCACACATACTGCCATTCTTGTCTGCAGTTTGAATAGACAGTGAGCTAAGATTGCAAGGTTGGTGTGAGTGAAGCCGACCACTTTTCTCTCTCAGGGGTGTGGCTGAATCTGGGCGACGTGACGAATGCTAACCCATTAGTCAAATGCATCCTGGGCAGACAGGCTGTCCAGGTTCAGCCTCATGAGTCGATGAAAGTCAAACGAAACAGTCTGGCACAGTCATGCTTTTTTTTTTTTTGCGGAATTGTGTATAGCGAACATGACAACACGCACACGCGCACACACGCATGGACGCACGAGCCTTTCTTCTTTTGTGGTGGGATGTGTTTCATTTTTGGTTGTTTGTTTACTTACACGTGTGACATGGGCTACTTCTTTACCCTGCTTCAGAGCATGGGCGGTCTCTTTTACGAAGGAAAAATTGTCTGTGTGGGTGGCCACAAGGTTTTTATCAGGGTAGGAATGTACGTTTGGACTCTGGATGGAGTTTTGGCCATCGTATCTTTGCGAGGAGGCTCAGAGAGAGTGTTTGCTATGGGTGACATTGGGGGCCATTCCCACGGGATGCTCTTTTGGAGCACATGGAAGAAATGGGGGCTTCTATGTGCCCAATTGGGAATGACATTGGGTGTCATTCCCAATGAAGTTTTAAGCAGTGGCGCTTTCTCGTTGTGGAGATCTTGTGGTGTTTGGTATAGTTCGCACAGCAGCCTTACTGTAGCACTATGAGATATTTGATTCTGCAGATTGTACGCGGGGGGCGGGGGGGGGGGGGGTTCATGATACTCTTTGTGTTGCGTAGAGATCCTAAGGTGTGTGTTTGATTTACGGTGATCCGATTCGGAGGGCACCAAAGTTTTTTTTTCAGACCCGAGTTTTTTTTCAGACCCGAGTTTTTTTTCAGACCCGAGGGCTCAGAAGGCTTTGTGGGCCCACTCGGAGGCCTCTCTAAGTTTTTTTGTTTTTTTTCCAGACCTATTGTGGGTGTGGTCGGTGCTTTCTTGTTAGTGAAGCCTTTTGTGTTTGCGCCTTGCAGTGCTTTTATTTTTTTGCTATTAATTTTTTTGTGTTTTGTGTAATTGCTGTTTGTTAAGTATGCTGCCTTTTGCCCTCCATCCCCGATTGTGTGGGCACTTGGCGCTCAAAACCACCAGTACTTGGTCCAGCTATCAGCCGTGGAAAAAGATAAAATGAGTAGAAACGTTTCCAGTCAGATGAATTTGGGTGCTCCTGTACTGACCCGTACATTTTCTAAAATTGTGGCTTGTTAACGGGCACAAATACTGGTGGTTTAACCGCAGAAAACTTTACAAAATTGGCCACCCTTGCCTCTCCTATTTTGTGGATGGAACAAGCACAGAGTTTGGGGTTCTTGTGGGGGCACTTGGCGATTAACCGCGCCACCCTTGCCTCTCCTATTTTGTGGATGGAACAAGGACAGAGTTTGGGGTTCTTGTGGGGCACTTGGCGATTAACCGCGCCAACATTGCCTTTTCGATTTTGTGAATGGAATAAGGAGAGAGTTTGGGGTTCTTTGCCAACACACGGGCGTGCACGCTACATACACTCATAAGCGCACACACACACAAATACAGACACTCGTGCCCATGCTTGTGTGCAGACACGCACACAACTGCATATGTGCAGTGAGAGAGGGGGGGATGGAGGAAAGAAGAGAGGAAGACGAGAGGAAGACTGGCGGATGAACTGATTGATTGGTGGGTGGGAAGAGAGGTTGGCGGGGGGCGAGGGGGGGGCAGAGGGTGGGGGAGGCAGGTGTGTGGGCTGGTAGTCACAGGTCTGTCCACAGGTGGGTGGTGAGCAATAGACAGAGGGGTCATAGCGTAAACGAAGTTTACCGTCTTGTTTGTCCGCCCATCTATATTGCTGTTTATGTTTTGTTGGTGTCGAGATCATTTCAGGGAACTGCTAACTCAAGGCAAGCAGTCCACAACACACAGGCAAAAAGCCAAACCCGCTGTATGAAATCATCAAAGCATCTCTTGCGATTAAAACAGCGCACGCTAACATATGGCTGGTAACAGTGGTCGCATGAAGCCAAAACGATGTGATGAGACGCGACTACCACCGCCACCACCATTCATCAATGACGATGCCATCCTCGATAGTACCCACTGACCCAACCAAATTCATTTCAGCCTACTGCGAACCTAAGATTATGCACGCTCACACCTGTCTTCATACTTTCTCAATATTTTTAGACGACAGGCTGTTTGAAAAATGATTCTTGATCAGGGGTATTGCTTGAAGTGTTGTATGCCTCTCCCTCTAAGAAGTGGTCTGGGGTACTCCTCTTCGTCCGAGCACAAGACTCGGATCTCAGAAGTCGGGTCGTCTCCATCGAACTCGGCAAAGTACCCCCCCGTAAAACGGTCCACTCTGGTCGATAACAGGGCTGGCTCCTGAAGCAACGAACCCCCACCCCAGATGCTTCCTAGAGATAGAGGATGTGTCCATTGCAAGTAGCTTTCAACTATTTTTATATCTCTCGAGTCCAGGTTAGCTTTGACGAAAAGAAATCAAAGGAGATAAAAGTTGAGAATCATTTGGACAGGTACAAGTGAATAAGGTCTTTCGGGATAAAAATGGTTCAATCCTTGGGAAAAGCTAAGCCCTTTTGACCTTATTTGCTTATTTCAATCGACACTCGTTGAATAATTTTTCAAAACAACAACTTTTCGACAAGCAGGCAGGTAAAAGGTAAAAAGAAGATAATGTTTTTTTTAGTCTCAAGTAGGCATAATCAATCTCCTTTGCCAACATCCTTCTACCTACCTGCACAACATGCAAAGAAAACACGTTCAAAAGAAAACAGTACAATCACACACTTGACAAGAAGTCTGAGTCATTTGTAATAACCTTGAGTGAAATTTGAATCAGCTCACGCAAGAAGCCGAGTAATATGCCAATCAAAAGAAAATAACCATCGTTGAATATGAAATATACGGCCATAACTTCACAAGTTGTGGCCTTTCTCTTGAGTTACGGTCCGCATCCTCTTTCTACTGTTCAAAAGAATAGAGGTTAGACCACACAAAAAAAACTCAAGCAAGATAGCCCTCGAGGAGAGTGTTCCCACAAATGAGTTTTCAGTTGGTCCCAATTTCTTGGTCCCAGTGCAGTCTTAACTGCATCTTAACCACCCACGATATTCCAACCAAACGCAAATTCACGCCACCTCCAATCACCATATCCGCTTACAAAAGTCACACCAACATGCCGATCCCAATCACAACTAGTCCCACCTAGTCCCTAAATGGTCCCAGATGGTCCCAATGCAGTTTCATACCATCGCCCACAATACCAGATGGTCCAGAACTTAAAACCACTCGTACTGAGCGCCGCAAAAAAAATAAAGATAGCCCTAGCTGAAAACTGCACGTGTCGCAAGCCCAATAATCACTGTCGTGTGCGCTCACCTGCATTCTCAACATACCGCTTCACGCACCACTCTCGAACGATCCCAAACGCGCACCAGTGCTAGCCTAACCTCCAGGTCACATTGGAATCCACCATAACTGTTGCGCACCACAAAAACGGAATTGCCGCTCGCCGCACCGTCAAAAACCGGTACCATGACTGTTGTGCTAAAAAAAAACATTGGTAGTACTTTCCCACTGGAGTGCCGCCGCCGTGCCAAAAAAATTGGCAGCGTAACCTCACAAGAAAATGTCGTCGTTGTCACGTCGCCAAACGGACAGCACCTCCCCTTAGAGAGACGTTGATGCCGCCATGCCGTCAGTCTGGCAGCACCACCCACACACACAAAAAAAAACCTTCGACGCCGCGCGGCAAATCCTGTAGCACCTTCCCTTAGGAAGGTCTTGATGCTGCAGCGGCAGGCCAGCAGCACAACCTTACTAGAATAGGTGCCGCCTGCCGATGCAGCCCACCAGCCGCAACACTAACACAACCAAGTCGTGCCGACGCCGTTCAGCGAAAGAGGATTAGCTTATGCTAAACCATCCTATTTACCCCGACGTCAGCTACAATACCCAGCTTCGATGCCCGACCGTCGTAGCACACCAAACCACACACTGACCCTAGCGACGGTACTACGTCCCCCTCAGCCTGTAGTACCCCTATGGTACCCCTATACTACTAGAAAAGTAGAAATCAAACTCTCGTGGGTCAAATTTGAAATTTGCTACGTGGCGGTCCCTGGTTCGAACTTGTCAACGTACTGAAAATCAGAGTAGACCCCCGAATTGAAAAGTAAAAAGAAAAACTCTCAAAGGCAGAGATCCCTCCAATCTTTCGATCGACAATAGGTAGGTCTAGGGCTCAAACCCTGCGCCCGACTCCCCCAGATAGCGCAATGAAGGGCCACCCGTGGTTACTGTGCCGATCGACATACAGCTGAAGGTTTTCAAACCATCCAGACCCTATTGCCCCTGATAGCACAAAGAAAGGGCTAGCCCTGGTCCCATGAAACCGAGGGCTTTATCCAAAAAAACAAGGAAATTCTGCACACAACTCAAGAATCACATACTAACGGGCGGTATTAGTTTATCTTTTTTTTTTTTTTTTTTTTTTTTTTTTTTTGAAGGCCAGGGTGCTGTAGAAGGCCGAGGACTACAGCCTATGGTTGTCCTGACAGGATAGGCCACCTTCCCTACCCCTACCCTTCCCCACGTGATGGTCCTGGTTCTAGTTATCTTATCTTTGCCCCCTGACAAATTGACGCATTGGGGGATCGCCGCTTTCCAGTCTGTAAGGGCATCGAACTTTCTGGACGACGTTTCTTATGTTGAGCCATCTTCTTCTTCTTCTTCTCCTTCTTCTTTTTCTTTTTTTCTTTCCTTTTCTTTTCTTGTTTTTCTTTTCTTTTCTTTTCTCTTTTTTTTCTTTTCTTTTCTTTTCTTTTTTTTTCTTTTTTTTTTTCGAAGTATGTTGAGCTATCATTGAGCAACAGGCTCAAGGTTATTTGTACGGACACAACACAACGAATCTACTAAAAAAAAAAAAAAACAACGAATCTGCACGTGGAAACTGCCAGCGCAGAAATGACACACAACCCCTAAGAACAGAAAACCTGCGAAGGGAGAGCTCAACCCTTCCAGAGGGTTCACACTTAGGGAGCACGAAATAAAGATACACCGCTGTATGTTTTGTCTTTGTGTGTGTAGAGATTAGCGGGGCGCACCTGCTATGTATTTGTATTCGAAAATAGATGGAGGGGCGAAAAGCGCGACCGACACTTTTCGTGTGTACTTGTAATGTGGGTGGAGGGTGGAAAAAAAAAAAAAAAGCGTCCCACTCTTTTCATTGGGCCCGGCCCGGTTCCCCGACCTTTGTTCCCAATACTGCCCGCGATTCGCTTTAAACCGGCTAGTACACGGCCCCTGCCTTGCAGAAAGTTTTTTGTCGCCACAAGCAAAACTCAAGAGGCACCGCGCGGTCAGGCCCGCCGGTGAAAGAAAAATTTGGTGGCCTCCGAAGCGGTGCGGGTTTCATGCTGACACCCGCGGGCTGATATGTGGTTGGTGCTTTAAGAGTATAGAGATGTATCCGACTGCATTTATGACCAGACTTGGATGTATATGAACGCAATTATGTCCATTAATAAGTGAGAAAGTCCTTGAGTAGTACGCCCTCAGATTCACCTAAAAAAAAGCTTTTTTTTCACATTCCCAGCAGCGATTGCGTCAACATTCATTCATGGATCATGTAACACACCAGAGCCCCACGGCCACTTTTCAGCAGCAAGCGCGTCCAGGCTGGCAGTGCTCCGAATGATGTGGATTGAAGATGCATTTTACTCCAAACCTGGGGGATAAAGATCCATCTCCCTTGTGGATTGATTCTGCTGTATTACCCACAGTGAAGTATGTCTTGTGCTCTCTCTCTCTCTCTCTCTCTCTCTCTCTCTCTCACACACACACACACACACACACACACACACACACACACACACACACACATGCCCAAAATGAGAATGAATCTTCCAAGCAGGAGGCATAAGATCCATTCTCCTTTTGCACATTTGTGCAATATCCTGCCTCTCTCTCTCTCTCTCTCTCTCTCTCTCTCTCTCTCTCTCTCTCTCTCTCTCCACGCGACCCAAAGATGGAAAGTGCAAAACGGGCTTGTTTGTTTTTCAATTTCTTTTTTTTTTTCTGGATAGTACTGGTGGTTTAAGTTGCTGGCAGTAAGGGGGGGTAATTGGATATTTATTCTGGCTCTTTCATTCATTGCTTTTGTTTATTATTAACAATATATAAGATAATGGTGAAGACGACCATGATGGAGATGATGGAAATGATGGAGATGATGAGGCAAGATGAGGAAGACATGACATTGGTTCCAACTTTTTTTTTTTTTTCCCTTTAAGACGATGCTCCAATCTTTGTGGGGAGCAACACGGCGTATCAGAATACAAAAGATGAACTACTGGGCCCATTGTCCAACTTGTCCTTATCTTCTTCTTCATCTTCATTTATTCTTCCTTCTTCCTCTCTTGTCTTAGTATTCTTCCAATTATCTCATTTGAGTTGCAATTGAATGGCAGTGTCTCTTTATGAATTTTACATTGGGAGCTGACCAGGTTCATAACAAGTACTTGCAGATTTTATTGTGAACTTTCCAGGAAAAATTTTAAATAAATTAAAAATATATATATTTCAACCGCAAAAATTTATCACGGTGGCAATTTGACCAATTTTCTAGTATTTTAGCCATTCAGCCTCTCTCTCTCTCTCTCTCTCTCTCTCTCTCTCTCTCTCTCTCTCTCTCTCTCTCTCTCTCTCTCATGAGAAGAAGAAGAAACAAAGAAATATAATCCCTTAGGCCGTGTTCCCCCCACCCACGCAGTAGGCAATAAATAGTAGACTAGCTCAATGTACTGGTATTTACTATTTAACTCGGAAGATTATAACAAATGTGATTTGAAATAGGCAGTGTGGAAACAAAACTGATTTGAAATAGGCAGGTGGGGAAACAAATTTAATAATTTTAATTTGCATTTAGCCACCAGCATGGGAACAAATTTGACACCCATTTAGCATCTGTGAATGGCTTTTACTGTTGTCCTTGTGCCGCCGGAGAAACCAAATCAAACAGCCAACCAACCTCTCTCTCGCTCTCCACACTCCTGCGATCAGGTTGAGGCCAGAGCTGCAAAACACCCTCTATACACTCCACCATCTCTAGCTTCAGTCCTGACACACTAAAGGGCCAATAGGGGCCATGATCTCACAGTTTGTAATAGTATTGGAAATCAACCATCCTACATGGTTTTTCTTTTTTCTTTTTTTTTTAATCAAAGCTTATCTCCTTCCTTCCCATCCGCACCAGGAACTGTCGTACCGTCATAGCATAGCACAGCACAGCCCCCGGCCCCCCTCCCTCCCCCGCCCCCCCTCCCTCCCCCCCCCCCCCAATCCAACCCCATAGAAAACCCATCACCTTGGCATAGGGCGCGAAAGCGCCTGAAAGCACCACAAGTAACCGGATAGATTGTTTTTTTGGAAAATGGGTGTGGTGGAAATAACAATTGTCTCCTCCCTCCCGCTTCTTCCCACGGCCTTTGACATTTCTTCCAGATGGAAACACCTCCTCCTCTGCCCCGCCATCAAACCGATTTCAAACTGTCTTTGCCCGAATACAACGTACGTACGGTCATTATTGCTGTGTGTCTAGACTCAAAGTTGCCCCAAAGACAGCTATAATGACCGTACGTTGTCTTCGGCTGAAGAGGGTAGGTGAAAAGTCGAAAACCTACCAGATGATTTTGCCCCCTTGCACTTCTGCACAGTGAACTAACTAGTCTTCCGAAGAGAAATACGGTCATCGGACCGCGTTGGAATGGGTGTCGACGTACCGACTGTCTCCTTCCTTCTGCTGCTGCTTCCCACAGCCTTTGACAATTCTTCCAGACGGGAAAACACCTCCTCTGCCCTCAGTGCCCTGCCATCAAACCGATTGAAAACTACCGTCTACACCTGAATAGAACGCCCGGTCATTATAGCCGTATTTGGGGCCATTTTCTGTCCAGATGCAGCGATAATTACCGGGCGTTCTATTCGAGTGAAGACGGTAGGCGGAAAACTACCAGACGATTTTGCCCCCTCGCAGTTCTGCAGACGTGAACCAGTCTTCCGAAGAGAAATATGGTCGCTCTGGCCACCAATCAACAGCCATAACATGGGCTGCAAATGACGACGACAACACCAGACAGAAATACTGGCTGCTAAGGGCTTATACTCACACTAGGACTTTCTTACTTGTTTCCAGGCGTAATTGCGGCCAGATGCATCCAGGTCCGTCCATAAATGCAGTCAGAATCCATCAGATACATTTACGATCGAGCTAGTGTGAGGACGCCCCCTCGCTCGTACTAAATTCAGTTTAGTGGCCACCACATCCTTTCTTGCCTTGGCAAAAAGTGATCACAAACACTGTCAACGAGCGTTGCGAATGCTGTCTTTTTTTTTTTTTTTTTTTTTTTTAATTAAAATGATAGTCGACCCTGCGATCTCATTGCCGAACTGACCAGCCCCACATAATTCAGAAATATCTTTCATTCATCTTAAACACTTAAACCACCACTACCTCGCGGGCGGGGCACCAACGACAAAAACGAAAAGTAGGGGCACCAAAACCGAAACATCAGCAATCACGTTCCCCACATACTGGCCAAATACATCGCCGATGTGACTTCGACCTCGTGAGGGCCTTCTCCGAAATCGCTGATTTTGGAGTTCTTAGTTTTTTTTTTTTTTTTTCCTCTCACTGTGGGACCGCAT